GAATAATTATTGGTAAAAATCCGTTAGATTAACAACTTCTAATATATAGAAAAGCCAGTGCGTTTTGGTAACACTATATTTAAACAATGGTTTTTATGTCATATTGCTTAGCAACAAAAGTATAACCTAATATTGTTGTTAGTCTATGTATTGAAAGTATAAAAAAACAAAACTGGAAAAATATTTGTTGATTTTTTTAATTTATAGTCTCAGTTGATTAAAGAGGTTTGTTTTTATTAAAAACGTTGGTGATATAACAGAAAATAACTTAATTCAGAAATGATTTAAACTTAAAATTATACTCATATTTTTACTTTCAAGATAAATTTTATGTACTTCGGTCTAGGTGAGGTGATCCCACACTATGTCTTTACTTTAGGCTTATTATACTGACACACAGTACACTTATAAGGTTTCATAGCACCCCTCACCCCACCTTCTTATGGCCCCATTGCAATGCCATCACTAAAATTGTAATGTGCAGACAGTAATCAAACTATTCTAACTAGATAAATGAATTTTGGCTTTAATGACGACTCCTGTTTCAAGAAATCAAGTGTGATGTGACACACACACACTGGCTTATATATAGGTTAGATTACACACAATATTGAAATCTACAGATAAGAATGTACACTATGTACAATAATATCAAAAACATTTTATTTTAAGTCTGAAATAAGCATTTAACAAATATCAGAAATTACTTAAAATACCAAATAATAGTTTTTAAAGCTCTTGTCGACCCACGTGCATATTTTTTGTATATCATACTCTGCCTTTACACGTAATCTTTCTTGCACACTTGTTCATCCTTGTGACACACTTCCAAAAATCCATTAGATGAAAATAATGGTAAACAGTATTCACTAACACACATATTAATAACCCGAGGTTTGGCACTCGATCTACTGTACTTATCCTCATTATGGTTGGCTCAGCACCTAAGAGTTTTTGATTATTTTAATTTAGTTGCATTACCTATAATTTCATGTGCCATTCAACTGAGCTCCTTTGCCTTTTCACTTAAATACACAAAACTTTTACAAATTGTATTTTATTTAAAGGATATTTGCAAAGTTACACGAAAGTTACCTGTGGACAGACACCTCTAGTTTGAACTGACAGGCTATATGGAAGGTAGTTAGTCAACTACACTGATTACCAACTCTTGGACTGCTCTTGTTTGATCAAATATACCAACAGACCTAAAGTACAATGGAACATGAACTATGAACCCTGGGATTCACAAGACCAGGTATTCTAACCACTAGGCCATCACTAGTTCATTATGACTTACAACTACAGATTTCCTGAACAAAGTAAGATCTGTTTTTTCATATTACATGTCCTATACTTAGAATTTTTGATGTAATTAAGATTTTAACACCTATTTAGCTTAAGATACTTCAGTCAAGATGTTCAAGTAGATATTCAGCAATAAAAAAAAAACTCCTAAAATCGTATCTGTGTTTCCCATATTCAAACAGTAACTTAGTGGCTGCTGCTTCAAATGCTGATCAACATTACAGTGATTTTGATTAGAAAAAAAAAGTGTTAAGCAGCTTACTGATGTGTAAAAATCCCACAGAATGTCTATTAGTTCTACAATACATACACAATACTATAAAATACTGCATATATTTAGCCTACTGTTGTTTAACCCTATCTTTACGGGTCACGTGTCAAAAGCCATGTCATCGCGTTTGTTGACTTGCATTAAAAATTTTATTGAACTACTATTTTATGAATCTACATCAATAAGTTTGGTACCAAATTGTAGATTATAATTCAAATTTTAATATTATAGTTTAGTTAATTTCTTAATTTAAAAGTAAATATTAAAAAAACACAGCTAAACATCGATTTTTGTGTGTCATGTGATATGTTGAATGTAGCACTAGTTCAAATTAGATGTTTGTGATGTCAAAATACAAAATCTACAGTTTCGTACAAATTGGGAACTCTAACTACTGATATTGACAAGCTAGAATATAAAATAAATGTACAAGGTTATGAGATTTAAGCTATTTAGACTAAAAATTTGTGTTTTTGTGTTATAATTTGTAGTCATTCTAAAACAGAAATAGCATAATTTATATTTTTTTCTAATTTTTTATTGAGGTTACGAAGTCGGTCATATCGAACCAACCCGTACAGAAATACACTAGTGAAAACAACAAATAAAATAGTTTTTTTTAAATAAAGGTTTACGAGAAAATCTTTAATTAAAAAAATCTTAATACGTAATTTAAAAACTTGATATTTTGTGTACGAAAACCTTGTAATGTTTACCAATAACTTGCAAAATTTTGCAACGATGTGCACACATTATCAAAAATCATAGTATAATTTACCATCGTGGATACTTCAGTGGTTACAAGTGTAATTCCATCCAACCCATAATGAAAGTGTTAAAACATTGAGCCAAACTGCTCTGAAACAACTAAGTTGTTCACAAGTTTTTATAAATTGATCCAAACAGGAAATAATACTATAGATGTAATACACAAAGTCAATAATTTTCTTTTTAATCAATTTAATTCACACAAAACACTTGGGGTACTACATCCATATCAGTCAACTTGCATCAGTCTCTTCGAAAGGAAAAGAAACTTTTTTTCAATTTTTTAATAATAAATATTATACTATACACTGCACAATTAATCAAGGTTTGATCTAGAATGAATGTAAATTGTCAAAAATCTTCTCTTTTTTAAAGTTAATAATTTCCTATTTCATTACATTATTTATAAATACTATGAAGTGTTTTCAAAATTAGCCACTCTGTACTACTTGGAATTGTTAAAAATTCATCACTAATGTTAAAAGTAAGTAATGTGTCACTCAGAGCCCTCAGTGATAATAACAATACAGTAAACTCTACAATGTAATACAACCACACAAGGTTAAACAAAGGATATAACAATACTTACTGGTCCCATGATAGTGGCTTGCCAGTGAAATACTGAAAGTGAAAAAATAAAAATACTATTAAAGCACAAGTTTAAAATATTTTCTGCTACCTTATTCCAAAGATTAATAATATGGTAAAAGTTAAAGATACTACAGTTAGTTTATATACCAAAAACAGTAACACAGGAGAAATAAAACATGCTTTTTGGTTAGAAGAAAGGGCTTGACATACAACAAATGCTCAAAGAAATAAAACTGGTATTACAGGACAGTAATGCTATAATTTGTTTTAGTGAGACACTTTCTTTACACAAATCAATATCTCAGATTTTCTACTGTTTTCTAACATCTACTTGTGTACACGTGAAAGGTTACCAAAATCACTTATAAACTACCGGTTTTGATAATAATAACAAAGTTAGCATCTATAAAACAAGTCTACACAAAGTTTCACACACATACACCTTTTGAACCACTAAAATATACAAGTGCCCATTTGTAACTACTTTGGTTGTTGAAGTCTTAAGGTTTTTTGTTTTTAATTAAAATATACGAAATCAACTCCCACCCCCTTCCCATTTAGTTAGTGACTGATTAATTTGTTGTTAAAGACATTTAGGTTTAACCCTATGCAAAAGGGTGGGGTTCAAAGTGTACAAGCCACGACCTTTCACAGAGTGTCATTCAACATGGCAATACATATTTGATGTCGGAGTTGTCAACTATGCAAGTTACCCTACACTGCTGACTTAGCAACAGTTAATGGTAGAGGAGAACAAGTACCAGATACAATACATATTTGATGTCGGAGTTGTCAACTATGCAAGTTACCCTACACTGCTGACTTAGCAACAGTTAATGGTAGAGGAGAATAAGTACCAGATACAATACATAGGGATACTGAAAAAAACTGTAAATATGCATTTTGGACATTATACAACAGCGTTTCTCAGAGTGGGGTCCACGAGGGTGCTCCACGGAGTCAAGTAGTGTCCAAAATTTGGTAAAATATGACTTATAGAATAAAAAATATTTTTCATACAATTAAATTTATAAGAATTAAAACATTTACTTTTGGAATACAGCTTTTCGTGTGCAAGAATCCTTTTTTCAAAACAAAATCTGATATGTTTGGTGTCTGGGGTGAAAAAGAAATTAAATAAAAGGGGTCCTCAGGTTACTGAAGTTTAAAAATCACTGTCCTAAAGGTTATGAAGACACAATATGCAAACTATACCACCATCTTGCACTCCAGCTTGTCAGATTTAGTCAGACTGACATCATTAATTCACAAACGTGTCTTAAGTACAAATACTTTTGTAACACATTTGACACCAAAAATGTGTACATTTCACTAAAAGCTTGCCACATTTAGATACATATAGTAAATATGGAATTACAGTCAAAAATCTTTCTCCGATACGGGTTCCGTCCATGAACCGAGCCTGTGCATATTCAGTTAAGCAACTTCAATAACTAGTGGATTTTAATGTTACTAAGACTCAAATATAGTATTCAAGATCCATGCATATAACACAAAAACAAAGTTAGTTACGAAACACCGTATTATGGTTTCATTTTTATTTACCAATGGTGCTGCAGAATGCTGGGTGCAGGATACATGTTTTCCTTGGCACTTAAAATATTTCACAAATGAGTAAAACATACTAACTATATTCTTGAAAATGTACACTATACAAAAATTTTTCATTTCCATGCGTGCATATTTATCATCCACATTCATTTTATTTTTACTGACACAGAAAGCATGATTATAATCCTGAATATATTAGTGTATCTTCAAAAAATATGACAAGCTTTCAATCAAATGTAAAAACCAAAAAAATCCAACGTGTTACAAATGTATTTGTACTCGAGATACGTCTGGGAACTTCTTGCATCAACCTGACTCAAATGCCAACAACGTGGAGTGCAAGTTCTACTCCGTCCCTTTAGAATGGTCAAGCTTGGCCTGTTGAAATTACTGGCGGTTTTTTTACATATTGTTAATTCTTTAATCATTTGTAATATATTATGATAATGTGCTATTATTACTTTATGCAAATTAGCACAAAGTACTTCTTTGAAGAAAACATTATTATAAATTTAACAAAGTAACAAAAGTACGATGTTTCAACAAAGTTTTAACTAATAGTGTAGTTAAAGTACCTTGGCACCTCAGGATGCTAGTTTAAAGGGCTGTGTTTTTCAATAAAGATGGCTTTTTTTATTTTAAGTTTCTTGATGTTTGGTTCTTTGTTTGAAATTACAATGTTTTTAATATAGTCACCACATTACATATATCTTCATCAAATCAGGTGGACATAGTTAGGTCTAGTGAATTTGGTAGGCAATGGCAAAATATTCTGATAATTCAAACAAATATTGAATATTACTTTTAAATTTATCCTATTCAAACACTGTACATAAATAAATTGTTTAACTGGTTACTTAGTTATTTCTAATTGCAACTGTGATTTGTTTTAAATAAAAACATTACTCTTACTAGTGATAAAACATATTTCTATTACTTGATTTACAGAAGCACAATGGGGGGAGTTGCTGCATATATTAAAAACAAATAAAACGTTGATTGCATGGATGTCTCGTGATTAGCAATTTCCCCAGTAGGAAACGTTCAACTATCTTAAAAGTCAAAGTTCATCAAAATAATCTTTTAGCCAAGTTTTATTTATTTTTTGGCAAAGTGTATAAATGATGACTGCCAGAAGATGTCATCATATTAAACCGAGTACTTTGAAAATAGCTTTAATTACAAATGGGCAGATTAATCTCACATTAGAATAATTCAACTTTTGAAGCTGGTGTAGATCTTTTAAAATTTAGTACAAATCTCTGTTACCCTATTATCTTCATACTGAAAATAAAAAATTATGTATCTTCAGCTATAATAGTTATATTTTTAACTGAAGTTGTTGTCTATTACTGTTACTGTAATAAAGTTCAACTACATTAAAAATACAAATATTACTAAATCACACAATGAAAAAAAAAATTTTGTTTTCTCCTCCTGTTTTGTGCACCCCCTTCAAAGACCACATCCTACCCCCCTGGAGTACCCATACAACACTGAAAAAAAAACTGAAATAATCATTAAATAATTCCCATGATTAACTAATTAGCTAATTCCATTAATTGCCCAGCTTTAGTTTAATAAGATCATTCCTAGCCAGTGTAATGAAAGGAGTTGCACTTATAAATTTCCCTTTTTTTTTTTTAAACTCGTACAATACCAGGTGTCATACAAGCTTATGTCCACTGATTTAAATTAGCTTTTATTGTTGGTTGGTTGTTTATGAATTTCGCTCAAAGCTATACAAGAGCTATCTGCACTAGCTGTCCCTAATTTAGCAGTGTAAGACTAGAGGGGAAGGCAGCTAGTCATCACCACCCACCGCCAACTCTTTTACCAACGAATAGTGGAATTGATCGTCACGTTATAACGCTCCCATGGCTGAAAGGGCGAGGATGTTTGGTTGATGGGGATTCAAACCCGTGACCCTCAGAGTGCGAGTCGTGCACCCTAACCACCTGGCCATCCCGGGCCGATTAGCTTGTACATGAAATAAATAACCATTTCTAAATAGCTTTTATTTAAAAGTCCAATGAATACTTCTAAGATAAGCCAAGTATTGCCTCACACTTTTTGATACATACCGAGACCTGGATAAAATCTTGAAGAGAAAAACCTAGGACAAAATAATAATTTATAACTGGTCATTAAAAACATTTTTTTATTACTTTCACAGAAGAGATTATTACATAAAATGCAAGTTGTGCTTGCGGTTACCGATATTTGTTTCCTCAGTAAGGCTTGCCAATTAGACTACAAAACATGACAGGGAACAGTGTTACCATGGTACATGTAACTTGTTAAAACTTGGCATTCACTTCTCAAGATATTTCTTTACTCACTCTTTACCATCTCCAAGCTTTCCAAGGATTTTACTTCAATTCTATATAAATATCTATTAATAAACAAAACTGTAAAATGTGTTTCTTAACAAGATAAATAGAGATGAAAGGATACTGTCAATAAGGATAAAGACAATTTAATAAGTGATTTTGTCAAGGTTAAACAATGTGTATAGGATATGCAAATCATTGATTGAAAGTACCAGTTAAATGAAACTAATCTTTTCTTGAATTTAAAAACAAGCTTACAGTCATCTCCAACAGGACCTGCTGAGCACTGAGCTGGGGGATCACGACCAAGGTCTTGTAGCTCCTACAACAGACAAAATACACTGATGTACAAATATCGATATATGCCACTTTGATGGACTCAGAAACTATGTTCAAGACATGTTTCTGTTGCAAAAATTTGTTTTTTTTGTCCATATATACATATATATATATATACTGCATTGTTATTAACAATATGAATCTTTCACATTGATCCTTATTTTCTCAGCAATGCTAGCTAGCCAATGAAACAGGAAGAAAATGTTAAGTTATTAAAACTAACAAAAAACATCAGTGCTACTTTTAGTAAAATAAAATATTAGATCTCTTCAGATTAAAAAAATCAATTTATTTGTCTGGATTTTTGAACATCAACCAATGTGTGTTAGATTCAATTTAAAATAGTAACGTATCCAAGTCAAACATTCTCCATATTAAAATATTTTTCAGTAATCTAAAACTTCTTACAAAATAAAATGACTCAGCAGGAAAAGAAAAAAAATGGTTTTAGAAACATTTTTCTATGAAGATTGAAAACCATTAACTTATTAAAACACTCATAAAAAAATTATTGAATTATAAATGTTCAATATAAAATGGATGGTTAATTGACAAAAAAAAAGGCTTACTAACCATTTACTTATTCAGAAATATCCCTATACTTTGATTGCATAACATTACTGGCAGCCATAATAGAAGCCAAGCAGAATATTCCAGTTATCAAAACTCACAAACTTTTTTTCAACGAGGTATACGTGTCATATAAAATAAAACCATTATTTCACTAGATTGACGCCTATAGATATAATATATTTTCAGTCTCATCATTTATTAGCTATACTACAGGTCACATTAACATATGTATATATTACAACAAAATTCTGCCTGCACACAGAAAATTAACATACCGTGTGTACTGTTCATTTTTTTTTTTAATATTCACGTTGTGGCTGAACATAACAGCAGGAGTTCTTAAACCACATTAATTCTTAAAATGAATAATACTTCTCAAGATACATTTAGCAATAGTAATATTACTTGCAGTGTCTGGCACTGCCTTCCAGGTCCTACCTAAAGTCCATATCAAAATCTCTCAGCAGTAGTACCATTAATTTACTACTAGTCTTACTAATGTTGTACAATTTCATGGCTAACCGACTAACTGAAGATAATGATAACTTTATCCAAATACTTCTTTGAAACTAAACACTTCACTAACGCAAATTAAGTAACATTCCTCAACCTGAACAGTTGCTAGATGGAAACAACAAGATGATCACATTAATTCTGAACTTAAGAACAAACAGTGAAGTCTAAAGAATGATAAAAAAAACTTGTACTAGACAATATTTACCCAAGGGTTTTGAGAAAGGTTAGGATGTGCGTGAGTTACTTGCTGTTATTTTTTCCAAGTCTTTAAACAGTGGGCAGGTGCCATAAGATTGGAAGTTGGCTAATGTTACTCCTATTTTCAAAGGTGATAAGATTGTCCCCATAATTATAGACCTATTAGTTCTACATCAGTGGTGGAAAAAGTTATTGACAGTCTTATAAAAGATGTTTACAAAGTCATTTTACAAAGTTTAAAATTCTGTTGCATAACTAGCATGTTTTCACATGGGAAAAATCTTGCCTTTGTGATCTCTTGATATTCTTTGAATAGGTTACTGTTTATGTAGATGGGGGTAAGGGTGGGGATGTGGTGTTTCTGGGTTTTCAGAAAGCATCTGACAAGGTGCCACATAAAAGGTTTATTAAAAAGTTATCTCTATAGATGTTGGGAATAGGTTGGCTCATTGGATAGAAAACTGGTGAGATGAAAAAAATCAGAGGGTTGTTACAAATGGAGATCAGTCAAACTGGATTACTGTCATGAGTGGAGTAGCTCAGGGGTTAGTGTTAGCACCTCTGGTCTTTTTGATTTACATCAATGGCAAAGATGAAGGAATGGTCAATATACTACTTAAATTTGCTGATGACATTAAAGTTTTAAGTATTGCTGGCTGCGAGGAGGATGCTACTGCTTTACAAAAGGTTTTGAATTACTTGCTGAGTTGGGCAAATAAATGGCAGATGGCTTTTCGTCATAATAAATGCAAGGTAATGCATGTTGGATATTACAATTTGAATTATAAGTATAATTTTGATGGGAATAACCTTAACAGGGTTATTGAAGAAAAAGATCTCAGTTTTCTTGTTGATCAGTCTCTTGAATCATCCAAGCAATGTACTGTTTTTAGTGGTAAATAGGATTTTAGGTTTATCTACAGAAATACTGAATACGTCTAAAGAGATTATAATGTCATTGTCTTGGACTCTAGGTCATTGGTTTGGTTACAGTTAAAGTATTGTGTTCAGTCTTAGGCTCCTTACCTCATAAAGGACACTGAATTGTTGGAAAGAGCTCAGGAGAGAGTTACTAGGAAGATACCCGAGATGAAAGGATATCAAATGAGGATACGTTAACATCACTGAACTTGTTTTCTCTTTGGAAAAAGAGTTAAAAGTTGTTTACATTTGTTAAGGGAATTGATAGTGTTGATATATACATATAACATTTTTCATATATAATGTGAGAATAGTAAGAGTAGGGAATACAATTTTTGGTAAGAACAAAGTCATCTTCAGCTAAAAAAGCTATATTTTTATATCAGGGTGTCTGGCCTCTGGAACAAGTTCCCTTCAGATTTGGTGGATGCAGTTAATATAAGAGAAATCTGGATAAAAATTTGAATGATAAGGGCTGGCTCCAAGTTTTGTTTTTTGAATGGAATGGTAGTTTAATGGATAGGACAACCTTAATGGATCAAAAGGTCTCTTATTGTCCTTTAATGTTATATGAATGACTAGCATGCTAACAACTGAAAACAAATGACTACTTCACTGCTAACTTAAAGTAATACACTAACTCAATGATTCACTGGTTCTCGTATTTATAATCTACTCTCATTTCTTGGTACTTTCTGATTTTATTAGAACCTTAAAGTAAAAATTAGAGCTTTCTAAGTATTCTATACCTACTCCCACACACTTACTTTATCTTAACATCCTATGAACTCTAGCTAATAATAATATCCAAGTTAAAACATTGAAACGTAGCTCCATAACAATAACCTACTAGTTGTACAACTAGTATTACCACTAGTAGAGCATTATAAGTTATTCATACTAATAATAAGTTATTATAATAATATTAATCAGAAGGACGTGTAATCAGTTTACATAGACAAACAGAAAATTACAGTTAGTCTCAACGACTCATCATATTTAAACAATGAGAACTTGAATCATCATATTATAACAATGAGAACTTGAATCATCATATTATAACAATGAGAACTCGAATCATCTTATTATTCCTTTCGTATCGTACATATGAAACCTTACAGTGTTAGTGTTACAGTCACAGAATATAAAACAAAAAGTAGTTAGGCCTCCAGTCCAGCACTCTTCTATAAATTATAATAATTTAATAGATTAATTTAACATAAACCTTGAAATAATATCATGCGTTAATACATAATATCATAAACAGTCATGAATATATTACTTACAAGCGTTAACACAAATCATTAATAAGTTTTTCGCTCTAACTCTCATTTGTTAAAAAATAACTTCTAATCTATTCTAATAGTAATTACTAATAGTTATACCGAGGAATGAGAAGACCCCTAAGCCTATTTCCAAACGAGCAAACACTGAACGAGTGATAAGTTTAGAGTAAATGAGCCACCATTTAACACAAATACAAAGAAGTTCATAAAACTTCATTTCATTGCTTTAAATGTTACCTTATTAATCCGTTTTAATGCCATCTGCTAAATGAAAATTTTATATTTCTCACTATAAATCACCTAACACTTCCAATGACCTCAAACCCCTCCTTTCCACTTATAGACAAAATTCGAAGGCCTGTTTCCTAACATTACGATCGTAGGTTCAGGCGGATGAATACATGTCGTCATCAGAATATTCTACTGAAATGATTAGCGCTCTAAAATTACCACGTGAGGTAAACTTGTTATTGATGGATAGCTTCTTTACGTGATAATGCTAACGTTTTTTCGCTATTAATAAGAAAGTTATACAAAAATATAGGGATTTAAAAATGCTATTTCTTATTTATATTTATAATACTATGATCTTAATCTATACAGGAACTCATTGTTACTAGAGGGCGATATACCGATGTTTAGATTTGTAACAAATATTTTTAAGCGCAAAGCTGCACAATGGGCTAACTGCGCTGGGCTTACCGGGATATCGAACCCGTATTTATAACATTGCAAACCCTCAAGTTAGCATTCAGTATTAAAGATCTGTTACGTCTCCGTTCGTTAGTTAAGTTTCCGTAACTTCGTTCCGACGAAACTTTAGCGACACAAGTCCTTTCTTAAATAAAACTGGTTTATTCTTTCTGAATATAACTTTGCGATACACTTGATTTCAACAGTCGCGCTATAACAAACGTCTCTCGAGCTCGACTTCAACAGTACTCCTTTCAATTACACACTTTCTGACTGCAGTTCAATTACTCATTACCTCTGTTGTCCCGTCACGTTGTGAACGTCTTATATATACAAGACTAACACATATCTAGTAAATGCTAGGGCATTCTTGAAGGAACAGGATATTTCTAAAACAGGTGGCGTGATACTAGTCACGTGACCTCGCTGACGCAACAGATCCAATGTATTATTCTGTTTTCGAAGAATGTAGTATTAAAAAATAAAATGAGAGAAAAAATCCTTAGGTTTAAAATTTATCATATATATATTACAAGAAAAGCATAATTATTATACTTAAGAAAAAGAAAACAAAGACGCTATTTAATAAATGCTATCAAAGGTAAAGTATGCTGGTTTGTGAATGGAGCGGCTTTCGGTATTAAAGTTAAACTTATGCATAAATTAACTGAAAAATAACTGAACTTCCAAGTATTTTTTTCTCCCTCTATTGAGAGATAACTGAACTTCCATGTACTTTTTCTTAATTTTTTCTCCATCTATTGAGAGATAACTGAACTTCCAAGTATTGTTTCTTAATTTTTTCTCCATCTATTGAGAGATAACTGAACTATCAAGTATTTG